CCTGTGTCTTTTTCATGAAAACTTCTCAAAGATCCTTTGAGTTTTACTATCATGCATAGCCAGACATACCATCTGAGCTGTGCAGTACTTCTGAGAACCCTGAGTACCTAGGACTCAAATCAGCAAGATACCATCTATTCCTAAGCACTGCTAATTGTTTCCTAGTAAAAATCAGTTCCTCCATATGTCTAGATGTAGAAAAGGGACATACACTCAAACATTGAAAAAGCACTTGGAAATCAGTATCCAGAAACTGAAAATAAGTTAATCCAACAGAAGTGTTCCTGCTTAATTGCAGGTTAACTCCTTTAGTCACACACAGTCAGTGAAAAACCCAAGTAGTGCAAAAGCACAGGTGTTCTGACAAAGCTAATCATCCAAATATCTTCTTAGGACCCCAGTTTACTGCATACAGTTATTTGACAACAGAGATACACAGCACATATTATTGTATGTGCTTATTTTTGTTAGCATGAAAAGTACCCTAAGAAACCTGCTATAGCTGTGTACTTCACAGTAAGTCATACTGGAGAAAATAGTCTTTTCTCCAATATCACATAGTACATTTTTTCAGAATTTTGTACAGACAAGCCAGGGCTAGCAGTCTGTTGGAAATGAACATGCCTATGAAGTAGGCATAAGAATTATGAGAATACATGTCAAAGATTCAATACTTCTCTGTAAAGTGCTGTCCATTTAAAGCTCATTCTTCAGTTTTCAAAAGTCAAAGAAGATCTCATGTCCTGTTACGTGAAGAATTTCAAGATTAACTATGGATCCAAGACTACAACAGACTATTTTAAAAGCACTTTAAAAACCCAAATTCTATACCCAGCCATATTACCTATTATGGTTTGGGCTGAATGAGTCTGTTTGTTTGGGTTTGGCTGTAGTGTTGTTTTGTTTTACTACAAAATACACTACTCAAAGGGGGAAAAAAATACCATTTCTCAATAAGCTGAGATTCAGCCTAGCGGATTGTCATAAAAAACCCTTCCAGACCTGAGCTTCAAAACTGAGGAGCAAAGTTCAACAGGGGTAGATCTGAGTTCAGACCTATTTAAACGTTTGCCAACACAATAAACAGACACTGCTGTAGGAAAAGGTATGTCTATCCCACCTGTAGTAGCCCTTCCCTCGTGCACACCCATGTATTTGCAGCCAGCTAGGTTACAGTATTAACACAGCTCACAGCACAAACATTGGTGCTGCAGTAGACAAGTAGAAGAAGCAGTGCTTATCTTCTGTGGTTCCCACCACTTGGTGGCAAGATCTGTTCAGGATGTTGGCAAAGAGCACAACCACAAACATCAACAAAACAGTGCCTGTGAATCATCTGCATGTATGTGGAAGAAGAAGGAAAACCTGAGAGGAGCTATGTATTTCAAGTTCTCCCCTCCCATTACAGAAGACGGGTGATATAGTCTGCTTAAGTTAGCTAACTTGGTAACTGTAACTAAAAAACTGGAAATCATGAATAGTTACTGGAAATGTCAATATATGCTTGTATCTGGCAACCCAGCATCATCTATTGCATGTTTAAACAGTATCTTCATAGACTAATTTTTTAACGATGACTGGCATTCATCACTACTTGCCACCAAAGAAGCATATCAGAGTGCAGTCTGTTGCCAGAAGCATGATTGTGATGCAGTTCCAGAAAATCAATGCAGTATTGAAACAGAGTTCCATTACTTCACCAAATGGAGTAATGCCACTACCAGGACTCTGTGTAGATAAAACAGAGCTCAACACTGCATAATACAAGTACCAGGTAGAATAAACCCACAGCTCCCTCTAGCCTCTTCTCCCCTGTAATATTGCTGTCCTGAACACAATACTAATTTTGGTGGAAATCACATGGCTGAGCCTTGGGAAATATAAAAAACTTGAAACAGAATGGGGAAAAGAAGTTTACCATCAAAACTGGATACAAAAGCAGATTTTTCATAATGCAATACTTTCACACCCATTACACCTTACCTTTAAGATGGAATATATCTGAAAAAGCCTTGCAGGGAAGAACAGCACAAAACCCTGAACATGAACATTTGAAGCATGCTCTTCAAAAATTTTTAAACAGAAAGCTTCCACCTAAATAGGGCTTTTAAATAGGGTATTTAAACACATGTTTCATGGTATCTTTAATAAAGAAGAAAAAAAAAAAATAGAGGTGGACTCTGGGTTTTTTTCCCATTAAATAATACAGCACACTTTCTTTGTTCACTGTCACAGTTAACTGTTACTAACACTATAATCACACATGGGGAAGCCTGAGAGTCTTCTCCAGTGCAAAACTACCTCAGATACGAAGTGCACATTGGTAAAACACAGACACACATACATATACTCATGCAAGGTCCGTTCCAGACCTAGTTGCAGCCTGGCTGGGTATGAACACATTACACTGATTCCTTGCTAAGTACCTTTTAACTTCTGAATTAGCAGAGACCTTAGTCCTTAGTAACTACTTGGGGCCTCAACAGCTTCCAAATTACAGATATCTAAAGGAGAAAAAAACTAAGTTCTAGTCTCGTTGAATACCTGCATTGTTTATATGGTCTGGAAAACCTTGGAAAACCATAGCCTCAACTACAGCAATGTCCAAGGCATCTACACTAACAAAAAACTACCAGTAAACCAGTGTTACATTATAAGATAACACTCTTCTCTGAAGTACACTACTGCATAGGCCCAGATTTGAAAGGCAATGATTTAAAGAGTGATTAGCTAAGAGCCTTCAATCAAATTACAGCTTTATGAGACAGTCATGAAGAATAAATGTTTTGCAACAAAAATTTCCATAAAAGCAATATCTAAATTCTACTTAAAACATTTATTAACTAGGAGACAGAAATACTCTGCTCAGCTCTAGTTAAGTGTCATTGCCTTCCCTGATTAGAATTGCTGATCTGCTACAGAATTACAAGCCATTGCAATCTCTGTGGCTCCAAGACTGTGTATTTCCTTAGATTCTGGCTCAACATCTAGTTGAGTCCTGCAAAGATAATAGTAACTGTGGTAGAGTAAGCACTGTTTTGGAAAAACAAATCCCAAGAACACACACACAAAGAACACACACATCTGATGCTTGCCTTGAGACACTGAGAACAAAAATCATCTCAATATGATGAATCTGAAGGACTTATTAGCAGAAGTAGGATTTTTTCTAAAGGGTTTGCCTATAAAATCTTAATAATGCATGGAAGTTCCAAAAAAGATCAATTGCAACTTTAAGACAGTACAAATACCTTCACTAGATCAGCAACCATCCCTTCATGATGCTCAGGACACTCATTTATGTTTTGCCAAGCCAGAAGATCTGGTTGAGATTTCTCATGCTTGTTTTGAAGTCATAAAATGACTGTGACAGAACATAATTTAAGCATGGTAGAGGTCTACACATATTGTTCTATGAAAAGTAGTTTATTAACCATTTCAGGCTGACTAACATGCAGTTTGTATTAGTATTTATATATTACTAACTCTTTAATCAAGTTTTGTTAGCATTATCTGTAGAACTTGTTAGACTCTCCATTCTGCTACAGAAGACAGCATAAACTACTTTGCTACCATTGCTTTCACACAATAAGCATCTCATTTTATCCCTGAGACAGCAAGGTGGCCAGGAATTGCAGTAACGCTGAACTACTGCCAAGAAGCTACACCTGCTCTACTATCTGCAGGATTTCTGTGGATCACAGCTGATGGAAGTATTGCTAAAACAAAGTTTTGGGAAAGCTACCATTAAATCTTGTAGGAGGAAAACAGGTTAAAGAATTTGAGTCTGGACAAATTCAATGATCAATAATACTTCTGCCTCCCAACTGCTTTATAGAGTTCATGTCTTGTTACCCAGATACAGAAAGCAAACTGAAACATGTCAGGACAAGACTGTAGTTTGTCCTGTTCAAAGAAATGTGTTTGACTAACTGCACATACTTCAAATAGTGTAAGATCTAGGAGTGGATCAACCAGTTGCAGACTACCAAAAATTAAAATACCTATTTTTAGGCAAGTGCAGCACTAACAAGTATACCCTAAAATACTAATCTTTCTCAATATTCTCTAACCATGTTAAGAACCCTAATATTCTAATTCTGCCATCTCAAACTGACACGTATCATAACCATCTTTACAAAGACAACATACTAAATATAGTCCAACAAAAGTGAAGATGAAGCCTTTTTATAAAGACACCTTGATTAACATGACATGACAGAGATGAGCACATCTTCCAGAAGCTTTTACCTTATAATTCCTTATAATTCAGCATGAATGATGGAAAAAGCAAATAGCAAATTTAGATATTTGTCCACAGCCATCATGTAAAGGCCATCACATGAAGTAGTTATGGAGAGACTACATCATTAAATCAGGAATTAATACTAGATATTATGTTTAATAGGACATAATTTTCTGTATCCCTACCAGAATTCACAGCTGTGCAGCTTCCCCATTGTGTCTGGAAAGAAGTGTATTCATTACACGCCTAAACAACTGCATCACTGTCTCTACTTCCCCTGCTCACAGATCAAAGTACAAGCAGTACCAGTGACAAGAAAAATACAGCAATGGTTCCAACTTGTAACACAGTACTTACCTGGTCAATGCATCCAATAGCCTAAGCTGCCAATATAAATCCTGAGTATGCTTTAAAGCTGTTACTTGAGAATTTTTAATGCAATCAGACTTCTGCTCAAAGAAGACTGTGCAATACTGACAATGAACACAGGAACACATGTTGTCAACTAGGAACAGAACATAGTTCATACACGAAATCCATGTTTCCCTATTAAAGAATGCTATAATGTATGTGGTCAATCCAACAAAAGGTTGTCCACAACTGTTATGTCACTCAACAGTAACTATTGATAAGAACTTGTCTTTACACAACAGGAATGAGGTACTGGAGGAAGAGAGACAGACTGGGAGATAGAGGAACAAGACTGGACAACCTCTGTCCGGCCTATATGATCCACAGGGCTTGATACACTTACCTTCTGTGAGATGAGAGACATGTGCAGACATACAGGATACAGCACTAAGAAAGTGTCCTGAACTACTCTAAATTTCCCTAGTTTCAACATTCCTAAAAAAATGTTTAAGAACAGCACTGGCCCAAGGCCCAGTTGGTTTCCACCACACACCCAGTGCATAATTACCTGGCTTGCCTGATGGTATTGCACATCCCGAACAGACTGAACTACACCAGCAGAACACTGAATTCTTCATTATATGAAAGGAAACTAAGAAAGCTCTTGCTGGTTTGGCAAGCCAACTTCCCTCACCCAAGTTGTCTGTGTTCTAACCATTGAAATAGGTGAGCTCTCCACCAGCCAGGTACCACAAGATCAGTCTACAAGCTTACACAGCATAGCAGTACCCATTAAATACTGAATATAATACTGAGACCATCATGTGACCCAGGTACATTGAATTACCAGTGATTTTGCAACTTTATTCTAGAACACTCAATTTTTAGACCTTAGTAGAGTATAGAGTATCAGCTGCTGAATTAAAAGCCCAGTGCACCTTGGTGTAGAAATACTCTGAAACCCATGGGCACTTGCATTTAGAAATTAATACAAAACAGCTACCAAATCAAGACCTCTGCTCTGAACAATAACAAATGTCTGTTACTTAACCACAGATCCACTAAGTAAGTGCTGGCCCTGACTTGGGTGTGCTCACTCATATTTAGAGAGATGCAGCTTATCAGTAACACATTGCTACATTTCAGAGTTTGTCCTCCTTGTTAGAAGATGGTCTGCAAAGGAATTCTATAATGCAGTACCCCAAAGCATTCTGCCTAAAATGTCTTTAAAATACTTGTTAGCAAATTTAGTCTTCTTGACCTTACAGTGCCAAGATACTACTCAAGTCATCACACCAACAAGTGTGTTTTTTTAAGATTATTTCAGTTCTCTAAAGATAGGGACTTGTACTGTTAATATTAAGAAGCTAAGACATGAAAACGCCAGGAGAAACTGGAGTTCTGGAGACAAAATGCTTGCTCCTCTTCAACAGTTCAGTGGATCTGTAATATGATATATCTACAAACATGGTATTGATTTTAAATCACTGAGGTTTCCATTATTTTAATTTTACATAATCCTGTGTCCAACTAGAATTTTTAAGTATATATCCCAAAAAATTACAATATCATTTAGACTTTTGGCAGAAACATCACTTTCTTGGATATGTAGACAGCTGCAAGAGTGGGTTTATTCTGTTTGAATTTTTTTAATGGAACAGAAGACAACAGAAAAATAAAAACTAGCCTGAAGAGTAAGGAGTCATTCTTTCCTGTATCTTGACCTGTGACCCCCAGTGACAGGACAGAGACAAGGATGAAGCTGTTATTGCCACACATGTAAGGAAGTTAATAAACTGAATTCAAATGTCCTACACAGCTTGAAGAGACATCTGTGACTCCCACAGTAATATGCCAATTTCACATCCAAATTCTTAAATGGCCAAAATACAAGGGACATGATTGGTAACTTTTGTAGACTTTGAACTATTGTCATTAAATCTTATTAAAACAGCATCTTGCTAATGCTGCCTCTACCTTGCAGATCATACCGGGTTTCTGTTGCTTTGGAACATGGACGAGTTTCCATTCCACCGTCAGACAAGTCCAATAGCATGAATTATTTTTTTCAAACTATACAAATTCCTAAGGATATGACTGTGGAAAGTTTTCATAGGTATCTATGTCACATTTTTACCTACCAATTTATATGATATCTGACTGATTTTATAGATTTTATTCCTTCTCATTTCCTGAAGCTCTCAAGTGGATTCTCCAGTTTACTAAGGAACCTGCTGTGAAGCCGATTTCCCTAGAGCCTTCAATTTATTGAGAAATTCCCATGTTCGATATTCTTTGAAGACTCCACAAGAGTGAAAGCGATCCTTCGCTGTTCCGGAATTTCACCCCAGCGCACTGAGTTTAAAGCACTCGTTTTCTGGACTGAAAATCGCCTAACAACCCGGGAAAGGTCCTCATGGTGGGGAACTGGGAGCCGAGACGGCTCTTACAGAATTCCGATGTGACTACGGCGGAGATAAACCTCTGCAGATCGCGGTGCGCCCCTCACGGATAGCACTGCTCTCCCTTCACCGGGCTGATGCATGGCACTGAATGCAGCAGGATTCCTGCTGCTGGCGCACCCCGCCAGTGAGACCCCTCGACTTCGTGCGCACCCAGCAGCGCCCACAGTTTCCACGGGCGGCCGCTCCCACCCCCAGCCCCGGCACCAGCCCGGCGGCCCCCGCGACATCCTTACCCCATGGCGGCCGGCAGCGCCTGGCACCGGTGGTGCCGCGTCCCCGGGGCGCTCCTCGCCGCGCCGGCAGCTCTGCAGCCCCGTGGCGGCGGGGCTGCTGCTCTGGGCTCGCCGCAGCTGCCGGGGGCCGAGCGGGGCCGCCCGCGCCCTAGGGAGCGCCCCCCGCGGGCCGGGCTCCCATGGCCACCGGCCCCGCCGGGCGCCCGCAGGCAGCGGCTCCGGCTCCCGGGAGGGCGGCAGCGGTGGCTTCGGACGGGTCCCCTCCTGCAGGCGAACGGGGAGGCGCTCGCCTTTTCCGAGAGAGACTGGCAGCGGCTGCGGCGCTTCTCGCCGGGACGTGCGCGGCCGCGGAGGGTTCCGTGTGCCTCAGAGGCGGAGCGGGATGGGGCAGGCGGTGCGCACAGAGCTCCACGCCGCCGCTCCCCCTAGCACCGCCGCCAGCAGCGTGGCGGGCACGGATGCATTTTCCCGAGAAGGCAGAGCGAGCCGTGGCACCGGCGAGGGCATCGGACTCCCAGCGAGAGGCCGCTACCGACGAGCTGCGGCCGCGCACCGCCCGCGGACAGCGGGGCGCCGCGTTCCCCCGATCCGCCCGCCCGCCCACCCCCGGCTGCGGAGATGCGGGGCACCGCTCCTCCTTCCCGCGGCGGCGGGCCCGCTCCTCGCCGTCACGCCTTCTTCTGCAGCGAGCGGGCGGGCATCGTCCTGAGGCGCGGCGGATCGGTCACTGACAGCGGGCGGCGGGAGGGGCTGCCGCCGCCGAGCCCGCGCTGGTCTGCGGCGGGGGC